TTACAGAATTAACATAATTTCTGTTAAAAACCTATGTATTATATGATATTAATTTTCATATGAAAACTGAAGTGGACTGAAAGAGCTAAAACTATGTCAAGAAAGGTGTGCTGAAAGGCCTCCCCCTTTCTGATTTAAAAGAATACTTCATTGATTAAGACCGTGTGGTACTAATTAAAGTAAAGCTATATAAACTGATATACTACAACTGACAGTCTGGAGATAAACTCATTTTACATTAAATTCCTTTTTAAAAATTTGTAATTGTAGCAAAAAAGACATAGCATGAATTTATCATTTTAACTATTTTCAGTTAATAACTTTGTGCTATTAAAAACATTCACAATATACAACCACCACCACCTTCAATCTTCAGAATTCTTTTTATCTTTCCAAACTGAAGCTCCATAACTATTAAATAGTAACCACCACTTCTCTTTCCCCAAGCCTCTGAGGCCACCACTTCACTCTTCTGTGTTTTTAACTTTGACCACTCTACTTATCTCAAATAACTGGAACCAAACAATGTTTGTATTCTGTGAATGGTTTGTTTCAGTTAGCATAACGTCCTCAAGGCTTATCCATGTTCTACCATGTGTTCAAATGACTTGTAGTTTTAAGGCTGAAAAACATATCCATTTTACAATTGACTAATATTCCATTAACATCTATTAAAGAATGATATTCCAGTTGAAGAGAAGGCAGCATTTAAGGCATTGTCTTGGAATGAGAGACTGAATCATCACCAGACAATGAACCTATGGGTGTTTGTTCTTGAGCTTTTCATTCCCAGGAGCTCTGAGAAATACTTTTCTCTTCTTTATTAATTGCTAGGCGTGTGGTACTCTGTTACAGCAGAAAAGATCAACAAAGACAAATGAATATTGATTTTTCATTCTTCTCCTAAATATTTTAAACATAAATTATATGAACTCAAATGTATATGATTATATTGTTTGGTCTATAATACAATGAAAGGTAATATGACTGATGACACTGAGGAGATGGTGAGAGTAAAGTTCTATGAGAGCAAGTAAATTGTACCAGTCGATCAGTTGAACCCTCAGAAATAAATAAGAGAATTATACATTTTAAATAAACAGTAAATAAAACAATCAGTATAAATACATACATGGTCTTATTTCTTTCTTAAATGGACATGCATTTATTTAAGGAAAATTATAACAATCAGTTATTGGCTTTGTAACATGCATAGATTAAACACACATACATACATTTATATACATACATATATATATACACACATACATACATACATTAGCACAAAATTGGGAGGAGGATATTGTGGCAAAGCAGAAATACTACGCACATTTCTCATGCAATAAATTTTTATAATTCTGAGGAAAGTAGTAGAAGACAAATAGAGAACAAAAATAACACGAGACAAGTAGAAAAACAATGTTGACTGTCAGACATAAATCTAGCAATGTTAATAATAAAATTAATTGTGGATTCATTAAAATGCAGTCAGAAAGCAAGGAATATTAGTTTGAATACAAATAATGTAACTCAAGTCTATGCTATTTTACAAGCTAAAGTATCCAGTACTGGATAGATAGATTTCAACATGTGTTGTATGTATATAACAGAATGCTATTCAGCTTTTAAAAAAATAGGAAATTCTCTCACAATGAGCCTAGAGGACATTATATATATATGTGTGTGTATGT